AACGATGATGTAGAAAACTTTTCTATAAACACAAAGAGTAGGATGAAAAAGATTGAGGATGAATTCCTCAAACGATGATGTAGGCTTCCTTTTTCTAAAGAAAAACCAAACTTGAAAAAGAAACTTAAACGATCTCTTAAACTCTTTAAAACACTTGTTAAAACCCTCTTAGATGATTTTTATGAAGTGAAATAGTAAGGGGTATTTATAGGATGAAAACCAAAGCCCAAAACCAAGAAAACTCAACAAAAAGGTAAAAAAACATAAAGCTAAAAAAACTAGTCGTTATAGGCGTCAGTCGACTGATACTGTTCATCAGTCGATTGATAAGCTAGCCGTTACAGACAAGTCACAGCTCATTGGTCGACTTATGATCTCATCAGTCGACTGATGACCTCAATAGTCGACTGATAATTTATCAGTCGTAAAAACAAAAACTTTTGGTAATTCCAGACGAGTTTATCAGTCGATTGATAAGATCCATCAGTCGACTGACAACAGTTTATCAACCTGAAATAAATAGTAAAATTGAATTTCAAACCTCTTTTAAGATCCATACCGATAGTGATGTGCTATTGAACCTATCGGGGTGATTTCAAAAGTGGTTTACATTAAAACTTCTAGAGGGACTGTTGTCATAGGTGTAGTGTTGAACATAGATGGTCATCTTAGTAGAGGTGTAGTGTTAAACTGGGGTGTACTATTAAACTTGGTTGTACTGAGATGTATATATATAGGTAGAAGTGTATTGTTAAACCTAGGAGTACTATTGAGCCCATCGAAAAATTGTCCAATGATCAATAGTGGTGTGTTATCTAATTAGACAAGCAGGCTACGACCCTAGGTCTATTTATGAACTTAGTCGGCAGCTATCTTAACAGAGGATGATGTTAAACATGCTAAGATCTATCCCATGAGAGGTTTACTTTTGAACATAGTTGCAGTAGCATTTTGTAGTAAAATGATAGGATCGTTGCCATAGTTTAATGTTGAATGTAGCAGTCCATCCCCTTAAGTAAAGGTTTGTTGTTAACTTGCTGAAGTGTAACCTGACAGACGTGTACCATTGAATACACCGAAACATAATAATTGCATGTTTGGTCCACATAATTAGAGTTGAGATGTCAGTGCACTAGGTTTGATGTCAAATATGGAAGCAATCATCTATGACAGTGGTATGATGTTAATCCACCACAATGTCGAGATCAACAACCTTTGCCCGTTAATCAACAAAAAGTCATTTGAAGACATTAGCAGAAGTGTAGGAATGTGCCAACGAGTAGTGGGTGTTGTCGTCTGAAGTACACTATTAAACTCAGTGATAGATTTCCTTAGAGGCGGAGAGACCTATTGGAAAGTCAATTTTGATCAACATTATCTTTGCAGTTAACTTGGATTGACATCTGATGCGGACATCAGATTGGTTGAGATATAAATTTGTAGATTCAGCAGTGAGTTGACAAAGCTATGGTGTTGTCAGAGTGATAATGATTGTGAGAGAGAGATCTTTTTGTATGCATGAAGTGAGAGGTTGTTATATTAGGGAACGTCCTCGATGTGAGAGTCACTTGTATCTTCCTATGGACCAGGGGAAATGTCATTTTGATGATGTAGGTGAAGAGTCTAGAGCATGCCTTTGGTAGTGGAATTTGCTGGTTGAAGTGTGCTATAGAACTTAGGATGTAGCCACCTCAAGAGAAGTGTACTGTTAAACTTTCTGAGGGGACTTGGTCAAGAGATTTGTCTCATCTTATTGAAAAAAATTTATTTTTCTGTTGTTGATATGAGTGGATGCTAGGTTGAAGAGCCAAGGCTCTAAAAATTATGCTAAAAACCAAATATTTTTGGTGAAAATAGGTCTTTACACTCTTTTCGAGGTGTTGCATGAACTTATTGTACGTGGGGTTGAATGGTTGAGATCTTGCCACATGGCAGCAAACTGACGACCAGTGTAAACTATAAAAGTAAGTGGGGTTGTTCATCTTCATCCTCACTTTCCCCTTTCTAACTCTGCATAAATGCTTGTGAACCCAAGAAATCACCCAATGAGCCACCGATAAAATCAAGGGTCTGGCACCACCATTCCACAATGGGTGATGCTAGTGAGGGGTACGAGATCCCATGGTTATGTCAAGAGGGATCCTCTCCTGTCAAACTTGCAAATCGAGGGTAAAACCCCTTCGACTACTACCTCACCTTTACGCAGGGTTAACCCTTTACACAATGCTACTGAAACCATCTTTGCGCAAGTTTTCACAATTTAGTTTGAGGGTTTCCATGTCATTAGCCTATGTAAATGTTGTTCCTTGTAAATACTTGTAGATCCACGTAAATGACACATAGTTTTGGTTCTAACTTGGTTCGTCCTTTTTTCTCTTTGTTTACAATTAGCTCCTCTACTGGTCCCGTTGTCATGAGGGGTTATTTTGGTATTGCTGAGGATATAGAGACTCTGATAGGGTTTTCCTCTTTTGAGGACATGTCTTTGGACATGTACAGCCTTCCTGATCGACTCTGTCTCTTGTTAGAGGGTAGTAAATCCACACTAATTAGTGCTGTCATCGCATATCCCCTTCAAAATCCCTCTAGGGCTGCTCTCCTGTAGCTTGCATTTCTTTTTGGTGATTCTTCCACTAAACAAGCTTGTTCTTAGCACCTCGTGAATTATAAGAGGCTATTTTCTATAGATGGGCTAGCATGCCATCTTCAAGTGATTGAATATCATCAACCCTTATAGTATTCTAAATGTTGGCCTTCTTGTTTTGATGATGTTTAACAAACAATTTACTTTTAATGTTGTTTGTTTAGTGTTTGTGTTTTCGTATTTATTATAGGCAAACAATGAGTTGGAGGATGGATGGAATCGAACATTCACGATCATATCAAATGGAAGCTGACGGAATTGTGGAGTAAAGCCATACAATTCAAGTTGAAGATCCAAGTTCAAGCTTCATCCACAAGTTTATCAAGTTGAGCTACAATGAAGATCAAGATCAAGCTTGGGTAATTTAGTTTAGGTGTTATATTATGTGTGTTAAGTACGTTAAGCTCAATATCATATACACACACATTTTATTGGTTTCTTTGTATATATATGTAGTCATATATATATATATATATATATATATATACAACACAAGTTTTGGCTTTCATGTTTATAAATATGAAATTACATATTTCATATTTATTTTTGTGATTTGGTTTAACTACTTAGATATGAAACAAATATATTTTCATATACATACTCAGATGTTAATTTCATTTTCTATTGTATTTGTGAAAATATTATTTTCTTGGTTTATAGACTTAACAATAATCATATACATCTTTTATTAAGTCTACAAAATTATTTTGTAATGTTTCAAAACATAGTTAAGCTAAAATGTCAAAACTCATGTATTCACATTTTCATGTTTTGGACTATTTTGCATGTGTATTATCATATCTACAATCATTTTCCAAAGTTTTATATTTTTTGGAATTTATTTGATATTTTTAAAAAGGGTTTCAAAATCATCAAACTGTGTCTAAACTGTTATTTTCTTATGTCAGTTTGCGGTTGACTACCACGGTCGACCGCGCCTGTGTCTTTTGCTGAGTGGGCTGCAGAAACTTTCGCGGTCGACCGTCACGCGACCGTCAGAGCTCAAAAATTCCCACGGTCGACCGCGTAAGTAAAAGTGGCTCGCGGTCTACCGTGAGATTTTCACGGTCGACCGTCGTTTACTCCAACGGCTTTTTTTGTACAGAATCTGATTTCCGATTCTGTGGGCTTTTTGGTCTTTTGTTTGGAGTTTTTGGCTGAGGTTTTGGGAGGCTATAAATACCACATTGATCTCAGTTCTCTTAGCAATCTAAGAAGTTTTTAAGCAAAAGTTTAACAAGGGTTTAAGCCTGTTTTAGTTTGTTTTAAGTTTGTGGTTTGTTTTTACAAAGAGGAGCTTACATCAGTTGTTGAGGAGTTCATCCTTAATATTTCATCATTCTCTCTTTGTGTTTATAGAGAAGTTTTCTAACTCTTTTCTCTAGCAATTTTACTATTGATTTTCATATTCTTATTATTGCTAGTTTGCTATTTGAGTTAGATTTTATTTCACTCATTGTTTACACACACCCACATTAAGCTTATTGTATTTTCATACATAATATATTTGGGTTGGTGAGTGTTTTAACAATTGAGTGTGAGCTTTCATTGTGTTCTCATCCATATTAGAGAACAATCATTTATTGTAATTGTGCTTATTGTGAGGATCACCTTGTAATACACTTGTACATCGAGAGAAGTGTGTGGCGAGAGTCAGGGATCGTCCCAAGAGGAGTGGCGTTGGTTGACGAACCTTAGGAGAGGTTGTATCCGAGCACTTGAGGGAGACACGTCTAGTTCCAACACTTGAGAGGGTGTAGAGTGGGATTGCAAGAGTGTGTGAGTTGTAGAGTTTTCGGTAAATTAGAAAACCGTATTATGAGGTGTAAACGTTGTTCGGGTAAACGTAAAAAACTCGGTTGTGATAGAGGAGATCTCCTCGAGGTGAGGAGTGGAGACGTAGATCGTGGGGACCAAACTCCGTAATCATATCGTTCGTTAGTGATTGCTTTGGCGCACTTATTTTTATATTCATATCTTATATCGCCTTTGTATATTGCTTGTTGATTATATTACCCACTATCTAGTTTAGATTGTTTACCCTTGTGTTAATTATATATCCTTGCATATATCTCATAGTATATCTCATTGCTAGGATATTTACCTTTGTTCATATTGCTTATTCTTGCTTGTAACATATTGTATATCTCTCTTGCAAGGATAATTTATTAATTAGTTTTAATTGGCATAAAATTGGATTAGATTAGCATAAGACCCTAATCACCCTCCCCCTCTAGGGTCTAACAATTGGTATCAGAGCTTGGTGTTCTTTGATTTAAGGACTAATCGTCTTGTGTTAAAGATCCAAGTTATATTTTTTTATGCTAATCTAGCTATGATAGCATTTGTCTTGCTTGCATATGTTCACATGTATATCATGAATATAATCTAATAAATCAAAACTTACCCAAAAGACCTACAGCAGAAAAGAAATAAACTATGATTAAGAATACTTGAACAATAAAGACCACAGTGAGCCCATATCTTATCAATGTTGCAAGTCTTTCCTTCATCATGTCTCTGGCTTCTTCTTCTCACTACATCGCACCAAACTAATCTCTCCTTCACCATCTATCACCTTGCAGCCTCCATCCATATCATGCCTATGCTTGCCAAAAGTAATAGAAATTTAGAAATAGAAAAAGAAAATTCAAGCCTCTATAGATTTAGGTTTTAATAGTTATTAACATTATATTCACAAATAGTTATAGTTTTAAACATCTTCATGTATAGCATCCAAAATATTATACAAAAGGATAACACAGCTTCAAAGACATGAATACTATTACATACGAAAAACACTTTAAATAATGTCAAGTGGAGTGAAACTTCTAAATTGATCGAGGCGACACATATTTGTACACTCATTTTTCGAAGGGACCGGCCAGGGCATTGTCGCTAATATTCTTAAATAATTAATTTTTCCTAAGCATCAGATAATCCAAAGTTCCAAACCATTTGCAATTTAATAATATTCCACAAAAGAGAGATAAAGATGTATTTACCACTATAGATTAGTTTTAGAAAGGCTGTGATCTCATGACAGAAAGGAATCACATACCATTATCATCTTGGAATCCGCTGCACACAGTAAAAAATTTTAAAAATAAATTAGGTAACTAAAAACAGAGAATTGCAACATGATCATCTTAAAAAGGACGAGAGAAAAAAAAACACATTGCTAATAGAGCTTATATTCAAAGCAAAGAGAGAAAACATTAACAATACAATAATCATGCTTGAACCTAGGCATGGCCGTGCCAAATATTATGCTTCAAAGTTAATTGAGCTGCTAATGAAAAAACAGAGAACATTGAAAATAGTAAACTCTTTCTTTAACATCTTTCATTTTAACTGTTAGCGCATAGATCATAACCCTACTTGTCTTAATTATAATCTTAGACAATGTTTACCTAATTAATAAACAAAAAGTCTTATAAGATCTTATCATCAACCAATAACTCTAAAATAAACTTTAGATTAAAGTCATTATTAATAGCAAAAATAAAATTATAATAATTGATAGAAGAAAGATGGCAAAATTAGGACAAATCATCACCTCTGGACAAAACTACCAATTGCTAGCAAAGTACTGAGAATTTTCATATCCACTCAATGACCAAAGTATACAAAAGATTTAAAACTAAAAATTCATGACATCTGAATGGGAAATTAATAGTTAGCTTCTTATAGTTTTAAACAAACCATTTCTAAGCAATAGGTTGAAAGAAAAAAATTCAAACCAATTCCATGCCCTCATTTTGTATAAGCTTGTAGGCCAAATGCATGCTAATTCTCTTAACAAATTTTTTTTTTACAAGCTCAGCTTGCCATAGCAAATATGCAACACTAGTTTAACATGTAATAATACCAAAAAGTTCATACCTTGCGTTAATAGAATTGATAACTTTGTTGTTGAGAATCCCATGTTTCTCCACGACCAAAATTTTTGTCCTTTTGCATGATATCAAGTAAAGGATTTTGCATGTAACAATTAAGGTGTTAATTATATAATAGATAAGTATCAACTCTTAATATTAAAACTTGAGGAGATAATCCAATATTATAGGCCAATAAGTCACATATTGGCATTTCATCAAACAAGTGGAGTGCACAACATGTATATCCATTTAAAGGAATTCATCCACCATCCTTAGCATCGTGTGCAATACAAAGAAAGAACTTGAGATTGTCATGACCTATGAAATAGTTGAGAGTGAAAAACAATGCCATAAATTTAAAATTAGTTACAAATGTTAATAAGATAATTGAGTGACCTTGATCTGAGTTTTAGAAACAAATTCATTGCTTTAATTGTAAGAAAGAAAGGGTAAAAAAAGAAGAAAAAGGTCTAAAAATGAAGTGATGATAACAAAATTAGTTTTCTTACATTTTATCTTACATACTGTTAGGTGTTGGTGACAACATAGCCCAGGATGAGGAGGGTCTATCTGAAGGAGATCCAAGAGTAGAAGAGGATGATGAAGGTTTTCATGATGTTGAAGAAATCGAGGGTATTTGTTGTGTTGGTAGAGGCTAGGGTGCATTCTGGAACTTCAATCAAGCATTTGGAAAATTGATGATGACTGGTTGATTATCGTTTCGCTAGGTGAGGAAGGGATCTGTTTTTTAAAAAATATAGACATGCAATTAATAACAAAGATTAGTGAACTCTCTCTCATGGAACTGAGATCCGAATTTTGAGATCAATTTCATGATAATTAAAAGAAAAATTACATAAACTTAGAGAGATAAAGTAATGGATCGTTGGAAAAGTTTTCTCACCCTTTGCACAAGGATTACTCTTATTCATTTTTCCTACCCCTTTTAACCAGGGGCCACAATGAGATTTAACATCCCCCCAAAATTTTAATTTTTCAATTTGCCTATTTTTACATTATTTTTCAGCTAACTGTTTGTAATTGAAGGAAAAGGATCATGTTCATAAATGTGCGTTTCCAATAGGCTTTGTTAACAACAACAATTCTATTAACCATTATTAATAGACGCTTTTGTAGTAATGACTCTTGGTGGAATGTGATTTCTCTCAAATGAGTAGTAAAGTAATATTAGAATCAAGATAGTTGTTCAAGGAATAGTGAAAGTCCAATAAAAATGACTAAGGTTAGGTTAGCCCATTATATGGTGGAATATTATACATATGATGGTTGTTGATATGCAAAGTTTCTATCATGGTCGTGTTGGGATCTAGATGCAAGCCTAGAAAGGGGGTTGAATAGGATTTCACACTTTATTTGAGAATTAAAAAGTAATCACAAAAATATAGCATAAAATAAATAAAACAAAGTGCAAGCAAACACAACTACAAACACATGTGATTTTTATATTAATTTGGATAAACTCTACATCCACTCTTCCTCCTCATGAGGAGGGACTTCTTCTCTAGTAAGAAAGAGTTTCTAGATCACAACCATGTCGAGTAAGCAGTAGTTACAAGACTGTACACTTGATTCATCGTAATCTAGTAGTCTCTGCCAAACATCCTACAACATAAGTGTAACCCTAGCCCTGGCTAATATCTATAATCTTTAATTTTCTCTAGCTTGAGTATGTCACACAAAATCGACCAACAAAAAATTATAAAAAAATTATGTACAAAAAATAAACAATTTAAGCATAACTAGAAAGATCTTCCAACCCCTTTTGATTAAGATTGTTCTCCAAAGAATTTGTTATGAATATCTGGAAGAACATTGATGATGAATTTAAGGCTGGATGCACTTCATAAAGTATCTGATATGATATTTTAAACAGCTTTGAGGATGTGCATAGAATCCAAAAGGTTGAGAGATGGTGACAGTGGTGAAAACCTTCTTCAAACCCTAAAGGAATCCTCTCCTTTTCTTTCTCTCAATGAAACTCTTTCACTCTACAATTCTCACCCTAGATCTTATGAGAACTAAGCCCTAAAATGCTTATATAGGCCAATTGATGAATGACTTACATCGCTTTTAAAAAGCTAATTGAATATGCGAAGATACATCATCCAGAATCAGATGGTTCTGGCCAAACATCTGATCTAGTATGTAGACATCTGGTTCTGATGTCCAAATGTCTCTGCAATGTTTTCCAAGAGCAAGTGGTCTGTCTAACAAATTTTAGATGTCTGCTCAAAGATTTTAGACATTAAATGTTCGAAGCAACCTGTGAAGACCATTTTCATATTGTATAGCGTGTCGAGAGCTTTAAGCGATTATATTATAATATCGATTATGATAATCAAGTCAAAATTATGGCCCATATAAGTTTTCAGCCTCCGTGTGCATGTTTTTAGGTTTAGTTGTGCTTGATCTGCACACTTCATCTCGAAATATCATCAAAATACCTTTGAACATTTATCATTAATCAAATTAATTTAATTGTGTAATCAATATCTTTCTCCCCCTTTTGATAATGTAAAGACCCTACCCCACTCCAATAAGTTTTGACCTTAGATCTCAATTGAGTAATTTTGTGCCATTAGATTTCATCCAGTTCTAAGATCATGACACATATCACCATGCCTTTTTGCTTCAAGTAGTTTTTAAAGTTATGCTTTTGTAATTTTTGGCCTTAATAGAGAGGTTAATAGGCTTTTTATGCCAATTATATTTAATGGGTTACATCAATTTAAATAGTGACCCATTAGACACAAATCATTAACTAAACCCTCAAATAAAAATCTTAGATCTCTCCCCAAATTAGTTAGGGATTAGATTAGAGAGCTTAGAGCCCAAAGAGAGTGTATCACAGCCTAAGGCAAGTGTTTTTCGCTCAAATCTTTATCTTTTCAAAATTTCAAATTTTGGGTTCTAGGGATCACATTATCCTCTTTCTTTTCATATAAACATATCTTTCAAAGGTTTAGTTTGATTTAGAGTTTTCTCTTGGATTTGGGGTTCATAACCTTTTCTCGATGAATCGGCAAGCATCTCTTTTTCGTCAATTAAATTTCTAATTTTTCTTAAGCTTATATTCATCCAAGCATTCTTTCCCTTGAATCTTAAGTAAGCCCATGCTCTTAAGTGAGTTTTTCAGAAATGATTTCTGATTTGATTTCTTTTTGTCTACTATCAAGCCTTTTCTGACGTTGCATCAAGATGAGCGAATGCACCTAATAACTGAGAGGGCTAAAAAACAAATTCTTTTATTGTTCACTTTTACATTATGTTCGAGCTTTTTCTCATGTTCTGTGACTTTCATTCATGTGTTCATGAAATTACAGGCTTGTTCCTACCATCTTGAGATAAAGTAGATGATAAAGTAGTTGTTTAATTCAAATCCTTTTGGCTTATGCTCAGTTTATTGAAAGCATGGTATATACATATTTAGATTCAAGTAAAGAGAGTTGTGCTATGTTATCGCATAATGATGTATTGTATGATCTACCATGCTATACCATGTTATGCTAAGTCTTAGAATCCACAAACATTATGCATGTTGGCTTAAGTGATACCCTGGAATTTTATTTTGCTCCATTCATTATCTTGAGACTTGGACATTGGGGTATCCATAATTAGGCACCATGATATGGCATATCTATCAATAACAAAGATTGTTTATGTTTGCATATTAAGAGTGTACCTCATGGTTCTAAATCAAGAATAAATTTTGTTTAAATTAAGAAAGTTCTCAGTTTGGGATACATAAAAACTAGGAATGGAGGCTCATGATTCTCCACCATCAAAAGTTTAATCAAGTATAAAGCATGATAAACGAAGAAAGAGATCAAGTATACGCATGTATTAAGCCATAATTGACTTGTGTTTGATATTTGACAGGCATGTTTCATTGCTTTGAAAACCCAGTTGGAGAAGGCACCAACATGATGGATGTTCTATATAGATTGAGTTATTCAGACCCAGTGTAAAACCCCATAAAATACAATGAATGAATTTTTATTGTGAAATATATGCTTATATCAAAGATGAATGTGATAGCAAGTGTTTGGGGATCAAACAAGTTTAATTATGTGAGAGAGAACAAGTGTAAGGCCAGCACACAAACAAACATGCACAAATAGGATTTTTCCTGTTCGGTTGACCGTAACGGTCGACCGTGACGAACGATCGCGCATCGGCCAGATAGTTTTTCCCAGTTCGGGTTTATATGGGTTTTTGGGTCGGGTTTTATTATTCATATATATGTTTTTATACCCGAGAGACCCTCTTCTTCATCAGCTCTAAACCCTAATAGTGGCGAGAAGAGTTGGGACTGAGACCTCCGTATCGTCCTCAAAGAACCTGGCCAAGAATAGCCTTTCAAGGTCTACCCACTTCTGGATAGATCCAGCAGGCAGCTTCATGAACCATTCGAAAGCGACACCTTAAGAGTGCCGATAAACAAGCGCGTCAGGATGGCGTCGTTTGCTACCACATCCCCAGTTTGGGACTTGAAGTAGTAGATGTGCTAATTTGGTGATCCTGTGCCATCAAATGGTTGTAAGGTAGGGGCCTTAAATTTTGGTGGGGGGATCAAACAAGTTTATTTATGTGAGAGAGAACAAGTGTAAGGCCAGCACACAAACAAACATGCACAAATAGGATTTTTCCTGTTCGGTTGACCGTAACGGTCGACCGTGACGAACGATCGCGCATCGGCCAGATAGTTTTTCCCAGTTCGGGTTTATATGGGTTTTTGGGTCGGGTTTTATTATTCATATATATGTTTTTATACCCGAGAGACCCTCTTCTTCATCAGCTCTAAACCCTAACAGCCCCCTCTTCCCTCTTGTAAACCTTAACCTCTTCTCCTTGGCGTTTTCGGCGGATTTTGGGGAGTTTGAACGAGATCCGATGGTTTGCAGCGAAGGAGTAATTGTTACAGTGTTGTTTAGAGTTTTTCATCACCCCTCGAGTGAGTTTTATCTCACCCAATCCTACACCCCTATTTTTAAATAGTTTTAATGATGTTTTCATGTGATTTGTGAGCCTGACATGCTATTTTATTTATAAAGATAGATCTTATTATTGTATAGTGCAAAGAGAACAAGTTTTTAGTTAATAAGATCACCCACGAATTTTTTAATGCAGATCTAGATCTGAACATATTTTAAAATAAGAGTTTTGAAAGAAAAATATTTGTTTTCGAATGTTTCAACATGTTTATGTATGTTTAAATATGTTTTGATTTGTCTATAGTGATTAGACTATTCTTCACATGTTTTTGATATGCTAAATCACGTATTTAGGACTATTAGTGTATAAACACGTCACACATAAAGTTTGAGATTAAACCCATGTAGAACAGAAACCTGAAAAAGGTTTCTGCTTCTACGTGGTCAATCGCAGTGGACGCGGCGGTCGACCACGTAATGTGCACAAGAAATAGTAAGCTTCTGCTTCAGTCACGGTCGACCGTGGCGGTCGATCGTTGGGGGTTTTTATGCATAGTCATTTTGTTGCATGAGTTTGTATGGCTGGCGAGATACCTAGGTTACAGGGGATTGTTATACACTAAGATTTGTGTACATGAGTTGACTACGGACATCAGTCTTAGATTTATTCACCGGGGTATGAGAGTGAACAGTATATATGTTGGTTTTGACATTATTCACATGTTACAGTCCTCGTGTTGGACTATAAGCTATTGAACAGTATATATGTTGGTTTTGACATTATTCACATGTTACAGTCCTCGTGTTGGACTATAAGCTATTGAAGTCCTTGTGTCGGACTATAAACTATTGAAGTCATGTTACAGTCCTCGTGTTGGACTATAAGCTATTGAAGTCCTTGTGTCGGACTATAAACTATTGAAGTCCTCATATTG